ATTAACTGAAGATGGCATTACATTATCTCACTTAAAATCTTTGCTTGCCTCTTGGTTTTTCTTCTCATTTATCACTATTATCTTATGTCATCTTTTTTACCATAAATAAATTAACACGTTTGGCATAAGATTTTTGTTTAAATTTGTGTGACATCAAGATCCAAATGATGTCTGTTTCTCCTGCAGACAGTAACCACACAAAACTCTAGAGCTGTCCATCCCCAACCATCCTCTGCTCTGAAATTCTTTGACTCTTAACCTTCTTCCCATCACATATGAAAACAAAACCAAGTGAGATACCTATAGCAAAACATCTCCGCTTTTGCTTTCTTTGTAGCCTGTTATATTTTCTTCCATTATTTTGTGTATTTGTCTTCTTCTATTTCCTTCTGCCTCTGTCATCTGCGTGTTTATGTACATACACATTCAATAGTGTGCTACAAAGGCAAGCGCTGGCTGAAACAACGGTAAAGCTTTACCATGAATGTGTCTCAGTGCTCTTGGTTTCATCGTGTTCTGATACAGACAATATATCGTAATAAGCAGGCCACCTTCTCACAGACAGAGGTAGACAGCCACCTATTATCAATTTCACCTTCCATCTCAGTTAACGTGCCTGTGTGATTGAACACCTGTTTTAAAAATCAGCGTGGTGTCTAACACTTCCCAAGTGAAGTCTGACTCACTGATAAGACCACTTGCACCTCAGCAACTTCTGGACATTGGATACGAGTGCCTTCTCAGAGCCCCACATCAGTGGAAGTGTTTTGAGAATAAACAGCCAAAGCTGAAAGGGATGGCAACACAAGGAAAAACAGCAGCGATGCTCCTGACAAGGATATTAATCATGAGGATCAATGTCAGGAAATATCTGGAAAAAGTCAAAGGAGACCAGGCATAAAGGAACAATTTGATAGATTTATCACCTCCTTTAGAAAAAAGAACAGAGAATTAAAAAACCAATAGTGTATTTTATGATAACTGAACTTTCCATCACAGCAAAATTAAAAATATATATATACCCAAAAGGAATATTCAAGTTCTACCTAAATTTTTTTAAATATATTTAATTTTCTTCTGGAGTACCCTATGAAATGGCCATTTTTACCTACCTTATTTTGTAGTTTAACCCCAAGTAGGCATCTCAGGCCCACAGAGGAACTGCTCAATGCTTGCTTTTCAGTGAGATGAGGAGAGAAAAGTTTAAAGTAAGAAAATTCATCAGTGGCATTAAAGACAGATTAATAAGTAAAGCAAAAGCTGTCCACACAAGCGAAATAAAATCAGCAATTCATTCACCACTTCCCAAAGGCAGACAGTTCAACAATCTCCAGGAAAGCTGGACTCCATCCTGCATAACTGACTTGGCAAGACAAACACCATCATTCCAAATGTGTCTCCCTCTTTCTTCTCCTTCACACAGCTTTTATTGTTGAGCATGATGCTGTATGGTCTGGGATATCCTGCTGGGCAGTTGCGGTCAGCTGTTATGGCTCTGTGCCTTCACAACTTCTTGGGCGCTCCCGGATCACTTGTGGGTGGTATGAAAAGTGAAAAAGGCTTTGACTCTATATGAGCACTGCTCAGCAGAACCTAAAACATCCATGTTATGAAATTATAAACACATAATCACAGAATGACTAGGCTGGAAGAGACCTTCAAGATCATCAAGTCCAACCTAGCCCTAACACCTCAACTAAACCATGGCAGAGAGTGCCACATCCAGTCTTTTTTTAAACACATCCAGGGATGGTGACTCCACCACCTCCCTGGGCAGACCATTCCAGTACTTTAGCACTTTTTCTGTAAAAAACGTTTCCCCAATATCCAACCTATATTTCCCTTGATGCAGCTTGAGACTGTGTCCTCTCATTACCAGGATCCTCCTTCCCACCTTTTTTGTGAACTGGTGTCACATTGGCCAGCTTCCAGTCATCTGGAACCTCACCAGTGAGCCAGGACTGCTGGTAAATGACGGAGAGTGGCTTCCCAAGCTCATCTGCCAGCTCCCTCATCATCCTGGGATGGATCCCATTGTGGCAGCAGCACTCTGGCCACAGAGAGAAACAGACAGCTGTCCCAGGCATTGTTCCAGGAAAAGTCTGTGAGATGATCAAAGAAAAGAATGAGAAACAATTAGCTTAACTTGCTTTAGCTGGTATTGTGAACATGTGGAATGCGTTATGGAGATTTGTTTACCAAAGGGTGGTTTCTTTATTAGCCAATGGTGATGTTGTTTTAATTAGAGGACTAATTAGGTCTACCTGTAGAGAACTAGGGTATAAAAAGTATGGGTTTCTATTGAAAATAAATGCTCAGCCTTCTGTAAATGCATGGAGTCTATGTAGCTTATTACCTGATTGGGGACCCTTGCTATGCTATCCCATCTGGTCCCACAGATTTATGAATATCCAAGCAGCTCAGCAGTTCTCTGACTGCTTCCTCCTGGATAACAGGGGGACCATTCTGCTCCCTGACACCATCTGCCAAACCAGGACAGTTGTCCTGAGAACAAGCCATATTCCCACTAATGACTGAGGCAAAGAAGGTGTTAAATGCTTCCACCTTCTCCTCATCTGCAGTTACTAGGTTCTCTCCCACATCCAGTAGGGAACAAAAGCTGGTCTTACCCTTCTTTTTGCCATTAATATATTAGTAAAAATATTTTTTACTATCTTTTACAAAAGTTACCAAATTAAGTTTGAACTGAGCTTTGGCCTCTCTAATTTTTTTCCTACATGTCCTAACAACCCCCTTAAATACTTCCTGAGAATTCTGACCATCCTTCCAAAGATGATAGAGTCTCCTTTTACTCCTAAGTTCCTTCTAAACCTCGTAGCCCATCCAAGCTGGACATTTGCCTTGTAAGCTCATCTTTTGGCACACAGGGACAGTCTGTTCTCGTGCCCTCAAGATCTCTGCTCTGAAGCACGCCCACCTTTCCTGGATTCTTTTGGTTTTCAGGTCTGCTTCCCAAGGAAATCTCTGAATAAGTCTCCTAAATTGGCCAAAGTCTGCTCTCTGGAAGTCTTATGAAAGAGTCTTATTGATGTTCCTCCAGATTTCATGAAATAGCACGAAAGTGGCTACCAACAAAAAATTAACTTTATCACTACTAAAGACAAATACAAAATATTTTTTGTATTATTCTGATTTTTCCCACAGAGCTTTATATACAATTCTATGACCTGAGGAGCACCTGGAAATCTCAAAGATGGCAATGATGGGACACTTTGGAAAGGAAATATGGTATTTTTATTTAATTTTTCATTATTTGAAAATTATTCAACATGCCTCATGGACAAATTGTAAATAAGTCTTGCTTAACACGGTGTAAGAAGGAAAACTAGAATAAAAAATAGAACCATAAACATTTCCTTCAAAATTAAACACACATACCTCACACCTGATCACTCAAATCCTGAACCTCCTTCTGTCACCCAGAATGCTTTAGCAACTGAGTATGCAGAATACCTAAAGGATTCCACTCTATACCAGTTTTGTGCTCATCCCCAAAATTTCTTTTAAAAAAAATCTTTTCTTAAGAAAATATGCATTTTTTTTGTGCCGATATAAAATGATAAATGGAATGTTTTCAGCTAAAATTTTGAAAACATTCCTTTTGTATCTCAGCAGGCTGACAGTACAGCGTTTCATGTATTTGCACATCTTTGCAAATCTCTACTTGTTTTTTCTCATTATCCACTTAAAAAACAGAAATGCATAAATGGTTAGATAAAAGGAGTACAACTCAAACAAGAAATTCATGTCATTATCACAAATTATTCTCAGTATTATAACGGAAATAATGATGAGAAAAAGAAGAAAAAGCAAACAACAGACCTAATAAACTGCACTCTATTTCTGGTTCATTTGTGTATTGTAAAAAAAAAAAGAGTAAAATATACGTTAAATATCACATATTTGTTTATTTGATAAAGATAAAATAAGAATAGTATTTTTGAAAGTATTTTAACTTACAGAGATGAAAACCTTATTTAAGTGCTTTCACTGTTTTTCAAACATAAAAATTATACATATTTTGATCTTCAATTTGAAAAAAAATATTGATAGAAAAAGGCATTTAATCTAGGGAATTATTGAATTACAATTAAGTCAGAAAGTAAACAGTCATGCTTTTTTCTCCAAAAATCTCACAGTAACAAAAACTGGTAAAAGGTAGGTTCAAGTTAGAATCATAGAAAGTAGTCCTTAGTACTTGTGTTCAGCTCACATTTTCCATTTGACCATTTCAGCTTTAGAAAAAAAAAAAAAAAATTTAATCTGCTGTAAGAATGTTAATTGTTGTTATCTCATGAGGGCTGAATGACTTTGGATATAGAAGCATCTATCTGCAGAGTGAGTAAACAGCAGCTAATAAGTAATCATTATCATGTTTGGATTTCATTTAAAGATTTTTTTCCTTTTCTTTCTGTGGAGAAGAAACACCTGCCTAGGAAGAAGCATTCACAGCAAATTTCTTTCAACTGCTCCTCTAAAAATTCTCTACTTAATTCTGAAAGCATTGTTATGAGGCATTTTTATGGTAAGATGTTTCAGAGCTGTAAACTGGGAGGGGATCACATCTCAGAATTTTGCTTTACTTCTCTTAACAGAAAATGTCTTCATTATGTATACAAAAATAACTGTTAAAACGAAGATGCATCTGTACTGAGTCTGCCTGAGATGGACTTAATTTTCCCCACAGCAGCCCTCAGAGTGCTGTGCTTTGCATTGGTGTCTAGGAAGGCATTGATAACACACCAGAGCTTCGGCTACTGCTGAGAAGGGCTCACAGAGCACCAAGAATGACTCCCCAACATTCCCCCTCATCAGTAACCTGACAGTGGGAAAGATCCTGGGAGAGGACACAGCCATGGAAACTGGCCCAATCTGACCGAAGAGTTTTTCCATACCATGTGATGTCTGCTCAGACATAAATGCTGAGAAAAGAGGAGGAGAGGGGTGTAAATTTGCTGTAATGATATTTGCCTTTTCTAGCAACTGCTACACAGCTGAAGTCTGTCTTCTCAGGATGTGGCTGGGAATTGCCTGCTGATGGGAGGTACAGAATTTTTCTTTCCTTTCATGCATGACCTTTTCTTTTGCTTTTAAAACTGTCTATATCTTCACCTATGAGGGTTTTTTTTTCTTATTTTCTCCCCCCTCCATTTTTCTGGTGAATAATAGAGTAGTTTGGTGGACACCTGATACCCAGTCAACATCAACCCACCACACCATCAAACTCCTTTTTACAATTTCCCACCTCCCATGTTTATAAAAATGTAAGATTCAATTTTAAAGGATGTGTTTTGTCACAAGAAGATATTATTTTATAAGTATATTATTATTATTTTTTATATTAGTGATTTTGACTTTGAATTATCATAGTCCTGCTCTGGCTAACTTCCTTTTGATTGGCATTGTCTGCACAGTATCCAATTTCTATTTTGGTCATCTGACTGTAGAAAAATGTCCTAAATGTGGGTACTTTTATTGCTAATGTATTAGTTTAACCTGTCTCAGATCAGTTATCAACATTTATGTGTGATATTAATGATGGCGTACTTTAATCTTTTTATTAGTAAGCAAATAAACAAATCTCAAACAAAACAAAACAAACACAAAACCAACAAAGAAAAGACACAAAAAAATGTATCCAAGTTCAGTATTACCATACATCCCTATTCCCAGCTCACTCTTAGTCACATCTGGAAAGTTTAAGATGTTGTACAGATATGACCTCATTGGCTAAGGATAAGAAAATTTCAAGCTTCAGCAAAATCAATGGGGAACTCAGTCAAGAGGTGGTAGTGCTACCTGGGAATGTCCTTTTTCAAAACATGAAATCTATGATTTTCCGTAATTAATGTACATGTGATCTTGGCTTACACTTATAAAATTCCTACTTTTTTTTTTCTTTAATATAGATTTATTAAAATCTTAGAATACTTGCTCCCTAATAAACACACATATAATTCCCTCTAATAGTGATTCCTTGCTTGATATTGATAGGAGTCAATATTAGACTTGATAGTTGTTCGCAATGATTTTGTTGCAAACATATCTGAAAGCAAATTGAGAAGGCTGTGTTCCCTCTAGCAATTTCTTAGCAGCCTTTTATGTGAAATATGTGCAGACGAATAAGGAACCAACTGACTACATGTGGAGAATATGGAAAATACAAACTATGAGGAGATCTGTAAAGCAGTTCCACACCATAAAGAATCTGGGATTATATAAAAATGAAGATGTTCTGGTCTGTCATATGCACAGGCAACATAGTAATTTATGACAAAGGTATATGGAATAGAATAGCAAGATTATCAGGATATTCTACAGAACTGAAAGACTTACCAAGTGACAGATTACACTTAAAGTGCAATAGTTTAAAAATATAGATGAGAAGACTCTGTTTGTACAATTTCTCAATAAACTGCTAGTCTAATTATATATAGGATAGTATGAGCTAACACACTTTTATCCCACTTAGCAATGAAAATTCAGCAATCAAATGTTAACTGCACCTAAAACTGCATTTAGATTGTCCTTTAAAATCCATTTTCTACAGCATTGATTTTACAACTAATATTTTTCTCTCTTTTGTTACCAGCTCACCATAATTAGAGGCAATAGAAATAAAAATTAAAATTAAATATAAACGTTGAAGTAGTGCTTTGCTGCCAACACTCATACTAAAAAGGCCAATTTACTAGCTGTGACCTTGACAAAAAATTATTTGTGCATAATCAAACAATATCTTAAGATGTTTCAAGGGGTAGAAAATATTGTCAATTAGTTTCTTGAGCATTTCCTGTCAATGTCTGAAAAATATATATCAATCTCAGGCCTACTTTCCAAAGTGGGAAAATAAACAGCCTGGCAGCAGATTGTCTTATCTGAACAGAGATTTTTTAGAGAGATGATCTCAGAAAGTACAGAAAGACACCACACATGTACACTGTCCTCAGCATTAAAGTGTCCCATAATCCACTGGTCTGTAGAGGTGCTTCAATGAGATTTTGTACTGCAGTGACTCCCTGTGGTCTAAGGCACAGCAAAGCAACATTACTGAACAGTCATTACAATTTAACTAGAACCTGTTGTTTGATGTGGATATAATAGAGTTAATTTTCTTTGTAGTAGTTTGTATGGGGCTATGGTTTGAGTTTGTGACAAAAACAGCACTGGGAACACAGTTTTAGTTATCGCTGACCAGTGCTGATACAGACTAAAATATGGAGAGGGAAAACAAAAAAATAGATGTATATGCACATTTTCAGTGTGAAGTTTTGGGTCCTTATACATGAATATATCACCAAAGAGCAATTACTTGGTTTTAACTTTGTAAATTTTTAGTTCTTTCAGAATGCATACCCATTTCTTGCTGTATTTAGGATGCAAAATGAGGCAAATAATATATACAAGGTAGAATGCTAACAATAGTATCCTGTGTTACTCTAACCCTTTGCAACATTTTTACATATGCTTTGGTTTTCTGAAATATGTGAGCATGAAAGCAGGAAGAGAAGAACAAGGTTTATTTTGGTATGCACAGGGCTAATAGCATGTTGCTAAACGTTTACCAGTTTTAAGGACATGAATGTGTTACATGCCAGTGTTTTAAAGATCCATCAGAAAATGCTCTGTGATAGACAGAAACTGAATGTGTTTACCTGTTTGGTGTTAAAGGTGTTGACCCCTAGTGAAAGGCATTTTTATTGCCTTTCTTTCTCGTGGATGAGGAGTTTGTAGCATGCTTGCAGCATCAGTAGACAAGTTCCCCATTGAATTTATTTTCTGAATATTACTGGAGCAAACAGAAGCCTTTTTTTCTGTTCTTCGTAGCAGAAAATTAAACAATGTCATAATTTTGAATGAGTATGAACAAACATTTTCCCAATGGCTTTTAGAATGTAATCATTTAGGCAAAAAAAATACTGCTAACATTTTTCATAAAATTTACTAAAATAAAGCTGCACTGAAATCTTGGAACTGGATTCTACATATCAATAAAATACATCTAGCAAGAAAAATATTAATTCAAAAATAAGTTTATGCTTTTCTACCATTCACTGTAATGACAGAAAACAGTGACTTAGTTATATACCTTTTATGTTTTGTTGATATATAGCTATCAGACATTCTTGCAGTTTCTGCACCAAGCCATTATTGCTTGGCTAATTTCTTGAAGATGTCACAGAAACATTGATGAATGAGCTATTAGTCCAATTTGGAGGCTGGATTTCCCATAATATAGAGATAATGATCTTTTTAAAATACAAAATTGAGGAAATATTTCTATTATATTTTCTGTTCAGTTTTCTGAGTCAAATCCTAAAATCATCATATCCACTTCAGAGACTTGCACTTTCTCACTTAGCCTAATTTTTAATCATCAAGGTCTTCTAAATGGACTCATGGTTGCTAGTATTAAAGCACCAGTACAACTTTCCATCCGCCAGTTTATAGTTTTGACCTATAATGAACAATTGGACTGGCCAGGAAGGTAACAGTTTAAATGGAATTGAACATTCTAGGCAAAGAATCAGACAAGAAAAAGACACAAGATCAAACTGGTGAACATTTAGAAGGACAAGCCTGAGTGCTGGAGAACAAAAGAAAGTGTATTGAACAGAGGTTACAAGCTGAGACTTTGTTGTCGAAAGTAGGAAGTTTGGAAGAAGAAACTGAAAGACAGAAGCAATCTTGTAAGATGGCAAAAGAATCCACCAAACCAATCAACAAAACAAAACCCCAAAAACATTATAAAAGGATTCATAAGAAAATTGTGGTCAGGTCATAAAATTAAGATCTATTTAATCTTTATTAAACCTGACACAAGTGGAAGAGACACTAGAAGACAGATTCTGACATACTGACAGTACCATGATAATTCCATATACATGCATCAGATTTCACTGTTTGATGTTGTCTTCTGTACTGTAACGTCCTAATATACTGCTTATCATGCAAAATTTAATTTTTGTTTTAGGTTAAAAATATTAAAGTAAAAATTCTTACATAATCAAGTGCCGTTTCCAAATACACTGAAGTATTTATATTTCTCTTTCTTATTTGTGAAACACCTGTGCATCTTTCAGAATTTAAATTTATGAGGACACCTCTTATACACAGTTTTGTACAAGTCAGTTCCTTTAAGTTCCTTAACCACTGATCATGGAATCATAGGATGATTTGGGTTAAACGGGATCTTAAAGATCTTCTAGTTCAAACCCCTCTGCCATGGGCAGAGGCATCTTCCACTAAGTCAGTTTGCTCAAAATCCCATCCAATCTGGTATTGAAAATTTCCAGGAATCTCCATGCATGACTTTGTAAATCCTCTTCACAAGAAGTGGATTTTTTTTCCCTGTCTCTCCTGAGTAGATTGTGTATAAAAAGGAAGGCATGTCAATATATTTTGTGTTGTCTTTCTGAGACACAGACTTGATCTATTTTGCATGGAAAATTGCTTATATTTTTGTGTTTCTTCTAAAATTTTGGGACACAAATATACGCGCAGAATCTAGGACTAGAAGAATGGACAGAAAGAAATTGTTGAAATTCTCTTCCTTTGTTTTGGAGAAAATGTCTCACTTACTTGGATTTATACCTCAAAATAGATTCTTCAAACAATTTAAGTAGAAGAAAGGAAATTGTATTTTACATTTGATATGTAAACTGGAAGAGCACATTGGTAAAACTTTTCTGCAATATAACTTGACCACTGCATAAAGAAATTTGGAGACAAGGGAATCCCTGCAGGGAAAGACAAAAGGTTTTAATATTTACAAGAGAAGTTCAACAAAACGTGGAAAATGTTCGGAGGGACTGACATTGTTATTATGCTTGTTTTGATGAGAACAAAAGGAAACAAGGTTTATTTTTGGTATGCACAGGGCTAATAGCATGTTGCCAAACATTTACCAATTTTAAGGACATGAAGGTCTTCATGTTCCTTTTCACATAAAAGGAAAAGATGGGAAAGAGGGAGGGAGAGAGAGAGAAGTGACAGGTCTTGAAAATTGCAGTTTATTTCATTCAATATAAGCTAAAGAACACCATGGTCATTATCCAGTGTCCAAACAGGGTTACATAGTGTGTGTCCAGCAGAGGGAGATTGATTAGTTACTAAACCTCTCCCTTTAAAAAAAAAAAGTGTCTGCATATGTTAGGATGCCCTTGAATTCAGTCAGCTGTAAAAGCTTTTCAAGATCCATCCAGCTGTGAATGCCAAAAAGGCAAATTTTGATTCTAGTATATAATTTTGACTCTCCTTTGGAATTGTCCCCATCCTCAATCTGGAATAATACCCTATAGTATAACATAAGTTTTTTTGCTGCAATCCATGTCAAATTATATTACAGTAAGAGAAAAAATGAACTATGGTGAATATTAATAATTTTTTTTGTAGTGGAGAATACATAACAGTCACCTTATTATAATTTTAAAAATTAAATTGTTTTGTTTATTTTCAACAGCAAACTTTCTTCTTCCTGGGAAAAAGATTGTTTAAACTAGAATAATGAAATATTTTCTGTATTCACAGAAAAATGTGGAAATCAGTGAGGCTCTACAGAAATCAAGGCTGCATGCCAAACTCCTGCTTTTTGGACTGGGTAATAAGTTGATCCAAAAAAAACCCAAACCCCTCCATTTTTCTTTCCTATAATTTCCTTGCTGTACTGTCATTACACAAGTATTAATGGGAATGGAGGACAACATTAAAACTATTTATATATACAGAAATAAATGTTAATAAAAGTATTTAAATATATGAAATCAATAAAAGATGAAGAACAAATTTAAATATTTTGGTTTGATAGATTTTTTTGAGAAATGTGCAAATGAAAATAATAGTTTGTTGGGATGAATGTGTAAAGCCTTGAAGAAGAACTCATTACTTAAAGGCAAATTAATGTATCTTTCATCTTGTAACTCAATTCAGACTAACTATTTTCAGTTAGTTGTTCTGCAGTAGTTTCTTTATGTGAAGACTTAATAAGCTGGAAAAATGTGGTTTCATGCAAGTGACTCATAGGGCTTTCTTTGAAATAGAGGGAAAAAAACTGAGTTTTGTAATAGCAACAAAGGATACCTTTCCTTGCTTTAGAGAATAATTTATTCAAGATGAATAATAACAACTTAGCAGTCTATAAGCAACTTGGCTTCTTGATAGGACTATGTAAAAATTCTCTTCTTAGGACAACAACCACTCTTCTTTCCCTAGAAAACATTTCCCAGGTAAGCCACTTGTGCTCTCCAGAGTAAAGGCACCCTTTATGCCAAATGAAGCATTTTTGTCTGTCGTTTCCTCAGCCACTTCCTTCACATCATTCTCTAGCTAGATCTTCCAACCATATGAAAAAGTAAACTTTTTTGTAATAAGAGATTTCTAGATTTTTTTCCTTCCTTTTTTAGTGTATGTACATGGCAAATGTAAAAACACAATGACCCATTAAAATCACAATTAAACAGCTTAAGGCAGTATTTCAGCTTCAAGCTTTTTTATGACCTACTGCTCTAAAAATTGAAGAGTAAGCATGAAAAGAGATTGAAGGTTAAAGAATGACAATGCTTAACAGTCTGCTGTGAAAAATGCCTTAATCCTTGAGGCAGCATTTGTCTGTGCTGTGAAGGCCAGTGTGAGGACCTCTGCACCCACTGAGCCCTGTGGTAAAATTACATGAAGAAGATGAAGGCATCATTTAGAGAGACTTGGGTTGGGACAAAGAAAGGATCATGGCATGTGGGGCTGTAGAGGGTCCAGTGGTGCATTGATGTTACTGATTAAACTGGCAAATAATGAGCTCGGAATGTTTTGAGCAGCTGTTGGTGTCAGAGATCGGATTCATCCTCAGCAGGAAAGAAGGAAGGTAACAGAGTTTAAAGTGCTCTGGAACAGACCTGAGACACAAAGGATTACACTCCAAATGGTCTTGAACTGTAATCTAGCTTGTGCTGATTTGTTTTGGTTTTGGTTAGACTTGATTTCAAAATGTTAATTATTCATAGGCAGAGAGTTTGTATAAATACTGTTGAGATAATGCTGGTTTTATTAATCTATTTGTTCAATCTCTGTTATTTGTCCTGTGATTTTGGCCATGAAAATGATAATTAAGCACAAATTCAACAGCAGATTTGTAGGATATGAAAACAGACTTGCGACCTCAGGTTGCTTATTGGGGAATCAATCTGTTAAATACAATGGGGGCATTTGCCCAAGGGTCATCAACACAATTAACATGAGAGACTACTGAGCTGTCATGGAGAGATATTAAAGATAAAATGCCATTCCAAAAATTTTTTCTGCTATTCTTTGGATAATTTACAATCTTACTGTCATTTTGTTATGCACATGCATGCAGGTCACTTTTGTAAAAAGAAGCATCACTTACATGTCTCTGTTGGCCTACCAGTACCTTTTGAATTGATCAGTCAGGTGTTGCAATCTCTTCTCCAGTGCTGTAATTGGAATTAACTTGTAAGCTGGGTGGAAGGAAAAGCAGAAACTAGGTGTGAACATTCTTTCTGACAAAACACTCCGAGTTTTCACATGTGCAGCTGAAACCTTAGTTATTCCTGCTTAATGTGGATTTCTCTGTAACATAGCAGAAGGAAGGAGTTGGGACATGATGATGTCAGAACTCATATTTCTAATTTTAGCTGGTTTAAGATGGATTTAGAAAAAGAAATGAAGAAAAATGGAGACAGCCAAAGTTAGCAGTTATTTAGGCACGTATTTTCTATAGAAAGAGTCTTGAAATTATGTAATTCTGTAAAAATCTGTTGGTACTTTAAAGGCCAAAAATATTTACTCAGTGCCCTAGAATTGTAAATTGATTAAAGGAAAAAAACCCACAATTAATATTTGTTGGAGCTACAATTATTCTTCAACCTTTCTTAAGATTTGCAATCTCTTTCAGTATTATATTTAACAATTTTCTGTTATTTAATAATTTGCTATTATTTTCCAAAAAAGTTTATATGGAAACTTTAAATATTAAACTTTAAATAATTCACTGTTGTGAAATATTTGATGAATGCTGACATACTGCATAAAATTGCTGGCTATTGTTTTAGCTTTATTTTTATATTGTAATAATTTTGAAAATCAGTTTCTAGTAGCAATGCAATTGTAAATGCAGTTTTTATTTTCATGGTTATTATTCTGTACCTAAATGTCATATTTTCTTTCTGAACATTTCTGGCATACAAAAGAATTCCTTATTTTCAGAGCATTGCCTCTCTGCCAACACGCATTAGAATGAAAAGAGTTTTCTGCTTTATATAAGCACTTGTTAAACTTGTTTCAAGAGAGACTTTTTGCTGTGTTTGGGGAGTAGAATGTTCTATGATGTGCATTTTTATAAAAGGAATTAATATGATGTATGTATATTATCTGCTTCAAAAAAGTGATGCTGAGTTCTGACAAAAGCATTCTTTTGCTGTTTTAGCTGCATTACAGAGGCTTTTGTCATAAAAGGACAAGTAAGTATATTTGTTTTCATGATAATTTTTTCCAATACTTGATTTTCAGTAAAAGTACTAGCTTTAAACTGAGACAACCTCCTGGAGTCTCAAGGATGTTTTTAGTTTCTACGATTTGTGTGCCTTCACAGCAAGAAAGGGACTGAAAACTCATTTGGGAAGTTTACACTGAGAAATAAGTAGTCATCAGAAAAAAAATACTGATCCAGATCAGGACTGAACAGTATTCCAGGTATGTGGTATTTTATGTATTTTCAGTCTGAAAAACCCAAAAGAGAACAGAATGGGACAGAAAGGATGGAATAAAATAGAATGGGACTGAATGCGATGATATCTTAAAAGAGAGACCACAAATAAACTATTGAGGCAATTACCAGAATTATTACCTGATGTTCTATCACTTGTACTGTTCAGAAGATTTTTTTTAATGTATTGCCTTTTCTGATTACAAAAAGCATGGATTTTCAGCATCTATAAGTCCATATATAACCACCGTCAGGAGTGCTTTTACCTTGATTTATACTGAACAAAGGTCTGATTTGGGGAAACTAAAAGGTGTCTATGCTATTACAAGCCTCAAACCAGTCACTGATAGGTAACAGCATTTCTTTTCGACCCTGTGCCCACTTCAGAACTTCTTGCAGCAAGAAATTACTTTTAATAATAAGAACACATTTTAATAGCCTATCCTGGCTATGCTGTGTTCTGCCTTCTTGTGCACCTGCATGGGCAGATAATGGGAAACTGAGAAGTCCTTGATTAAGAATAAGCATTGCTCAGCTACAACTAAAGTAGCAATGAGGTATTGACATTATTCTTGCATTAAGTTCAAAACACAGCACTGCATCACCTGCTAAAAAAAAACCAAAAAAACCTAGGAAAAAGTTATGTAGGACTCATTTTATTTTAAGGACTATTGACTAATTCTGTGAGGTTCTATTAATTGTCAGGCAGTTTTAGATAAATGGATTTTAGCTTAATGAACCATAAATGGGGGCAAAGGCATTTTTGGTGTATGACCCAGTATTGATGGAAGTTAAAGGCATATCACATTTTGTTACATGATGTGTCTACTAAGTTATAGTATGTTAAATATTTAAAAAAGCCAGTTTACAATCTGTCAGTCACTTCCCTGAGAGGTTCACCAGTCTTCACAAAATGCTGAGTTCTACTAATATTATAGTATTATATGGATAGTATCTGGGTTACAGCTACCCAAGTTCTTATCTGTCAGAAATACCATATAGGTAAATTATTATTGTTATATTTCTCTGTTTTCTACTATATATATATATATTTATGTGTTTGGAAAGCAAATAGGCAAAAGGAGGTATATGTATCAATTCTTGTCAATAACTATGTAACTACACACTATAAAATTAAATAACAAGACTGCCAAGATGAAATATATGGTAGACAGAAATTATATAAGTAGAAACTATCTTTATGCATAGATGTTGGTTAAAAATAGTTTATAGTTTTTAGGAAGATATACATAGAATTGTATGTATGGTAAGATTACATTTATTAATTCACCACATATTCACTACATTTATTAATTCACCACATATGAACTTTGTGGGGAATAAGGGACTGTGAGCTGGTCTTGTAGCAAAGTTCACAACTGAGCCAATGGTTTGCAGCCTGATTCTTATGAATTCTCTAGAGTGAAAAATTGCAATACATAAATTTCAAGTTTCCTTTCCAATTTGCATCAAAATTTCTTCCAAAGGAAAAAATTCCAGCAAGCTGTTCATCACAGGCTCAAACTTATTTAAAAGGCCTCATTCAAACCTGTAATTAGAGTTGTTAACCTCACCTTCACTGGTCTGGCATTTGTAAGAAAGGCAATATCTGGTGCTGCTCTTGTAGTTCATACGGCTTTGCTTTATCTGCTGGAGCTCAGATTGGAGTGACATGAAGAATCAGGACACAATAAAGAGCATAGGAGTTCTTCAGGAAATGCAGCCAAGTCAAATTCATAAAGGTCATGCTCATTTATTATTTAGCTTATCACTAGGAAGCTCATATGAGAAAAGCTTCTTAGAATTTGTAAACACTACACTACCTTTATTAGTCTGATCCTAAGGGAGCAATGCAGTGGAACTGATGTGGAAGAAATATGTACATAACTAGAAATACAGGTGTTAATAATATTGTGCACTGATATGGGGGTGGATGGAGCAGTTAAAAACACATTACTGACTTCACTGGCCATGAATAAATGTCTACAAGATTATTCCATGGAAACACTAAAATAAATCATTGGGGCATAAGAACAGGAATTATTTCCTGGGGGAAGAGGTAGTTAAG